ACGTCCCCGCCAGCTTCGGAAACGTCTGATGAAACGCCTGCCCCAGCGTCCAATTCTCAATCCTCCTCAAATGCCTCTCAAACACGGGGTTGATCACCACCTCGTCCGACTCCGGCACCTGCAGCAGCGTATCCGTGTCCTCGTACCCCCAATTCAGGCTCAGCGTCGTCGTGAAGGGCACGAAAAAGTTGTCAAACAGGTACTCGCGCGGGTTGTAGTCGCGGCACAGCTTCTCGCGCATCGCGGGGAAGGGCACGTGGTCGATCCAGGCCGGGTGCTCGGTGAAGAGCTGCGAGGGCCGCGGGCGCACCCAGTCGGGCAGCCGCTCAAAGTTTTCTTGTGTGGGCGAGATCTGCCAGCGCATGATGAGGAACATGATGTACAGCACGGCGACGCGCTGCGGCAGCGCCGAGAGGTCCGGAAAGGTGGCCAGGATGTCGGTGAAGACTTTCGACAGCGGATGCGAGTACTTGCTGTTGGCCGGGTTGAGCAGCGAGAGGACGGAGGGGTAGCGCGGGCCGATGACCTCGTGCGCGGAGAGGCCGTCGGCGGCGCGCTGGCGGCGCTCGTGCAGGAAGTCGAGGAGCAGCGAGTCGAGCGGGCAGGTGGGGCCGCAGTTCTTCACCTCGGCGGAGTAGCTCGCGAGGGCGCGGGAGGGCTCGGACGGCGCGGAGGACGGGGTGGACTGCGCGGGGCCGTAGTCCATCTGGGAGGAGCGCGGAGTGTGGACGGCGGCGTTGGCGTTGGCGTTGGCGTTGTTGTTCGCGGAGGTGGAGGGCCCGGAGAGGGAGGGGCTGCGGGAGTGGGAGACGGGGCCGACGCCGGTCCAGTCGTGCTTCATGGGAACGTGGTGGTAGTGCGGGGAGTCCTGGGCGCCGTTGGGGCCGCTCTGGATCTTGCCGAGGCGGGCGTTGGGGTCGAGGAGGAAATCGAGGCCGAGACGCTCCGGGCCGAGGTCGAGGCCGTGGCGGAGGTCCTGGCGTTGCTGGTTGAGCATCTTGCCAGCGGCGTACATGTGGTTCGGGGGCGAGAGGTCCGGGATGCCGCCGCCGCCGCCACCGCCGGAGGTCTGCCAGTTTGCGGTGGGGTCCAGGGAGGCGGGCGAGGCGGCGCTGTTGGGCGTCGAGGCGTTGTTGGCGGACATGGGCCCGTTTGGGTGGTGGACCGGGTGGGAGTAGCTTCCGGATGGGGAAGGGAAGACCACAGGGTCTGGCGGTTCTGCGGGTTCTCGGTTAGGACCGTGTCGTAATATGCAGGGAGGGGGAGAGGGCTTACGTTGGACCGCTGGTGTGGATGAGATCAGCGGTTGGATGGAGGTGATGAAAGCCTGCAGGCGGCGTTTGAGGTCCGCATTCTCTGCTTCGACGGCCTCCTTGGCGCGCAAGACGGCCTGAAGTTCCTGATAAGGCTGCTGGGAGGTGAGCTCCTGGATGCGGCGCTCCAGCGTCTCGATTTGGTTCTTCGTGCGCTCGCGGATGGCTCGCTGGGCCTCCCTGTCGTTGGCGCGCTTCTTGGCCAGCTGCTCCGGCGTCAAGTTCGCGACGCCCCTGGACCCGGGCCCAGTCTTGCGCTTCTTGCCCGTCTCGGCGGGCGGCTGCGACGCCGGCGAGGTCCCGGGCCCGGCTCCGCCGGTCGGGGTGCCCGAGTCCGCGGCGTGTCCTCCATGTCCGCCGGCGGGGCTGTAATGCGAGTCCGGGACGCTGCGCTTGTTGTTGCTGTTCAGGACGGTCGTGGTTACCGACGAGGCCACGGAGCCGGCGGGACTGGGGTGGGAGACGGCATCGGGGGCCATATGAGAAGTCGGGACACGGAGCCGGAATGGGGAGGAGTCCGGTGCAAGCAAAGCACAGGTGGGTCCCCGGGAATAGTAAGCCGCGTCCGAAAGGGAGGGGGTTTACCCTGCGGTACCCGTACCCGTAGCCTACTCAGGTCAAGCTCCGCTCTCGGTCAGGGAGCCGGTCTTGGCCGTGATCGCGCGACGGCGGCGACGGCCGTGAGGCATAGAGGACTTATCCCGCAATTGTGGAGTCCAGAGCAGGAAACGAAATGCGGCGATTGGTACCGGGGGGTAAGGGGTTGATTACCGCCGTGTGGGCGGGATGGTTGCTTAACAAAAGAAAGAAATTTCGGGGCCCCTGGGATACCTTCTTCCTGGGTCTTTTTTGCGGCTCCCTTGTTCTGGTGGCCGCCGCAGGAAACAATCAAACGAAACACCACACTGAAGCAAACAGGTCCTAGGACCGGCGGTGCGGTGCAGCGCAGCGCGGAACGAAACGAATAAAAAAAAACTTGGTCAAGGTACGACGAGGGGGTGGGAAAATGTGGTAAGGTATGATCTGGGGGGCGGGTTTTCCGGGGGGGTTGATCGGGGTCGCTAGCTGGCTCGTTGTGCTGGGCTCTCTCACTCACTCAACTCTCTCAGCTCAGCTGCACATCAACTCGCTTGTTTGCTTGGGAGCCTTGAATTGAGCGCAGCAGCAGCGCGACGGACGGGAACAGGCGAATGGAATGGGGTGATAATGAATCATTCAGAAACCGAGGGACGGCGACGGAAGGCCAAGATCCCGAGTCATGGCCCAGCTCGGTAAACGGTGCTGATTTGCGCTAGCCTCGGGCATTTGTCGCGTTGCTGCAAAATGCGGACAAGGGTTGGTGGGCTTGTTGCGGATCTTTGAAGTGTGCCGCCTGGGGCAGATTCCTTCTTTTCTTAACTCTTGGGAACTCCGGATGCAGCTGGCCAGATGTTTAAAGAAATTCAATTTTTTGTTTCTGATCTTTCCGCTCTCTTCCAGCTTTCCCCCTCCACCCTCGTGATTCCCAGACATCAGCTAAAATTCGAGGGCGGGGGAGACGAAAACTCAAAAAAGATGGTTTGGGTTAGAGTTTGTACAGACAGAGCATACTAGGCAGCTGGAACAACGCGACCTTAGCAGCACCTACAACATCGCAGTCGTACAAGTGGCATCAGCTCGACGCCCATAGCGCGAAAACGACACACACACAGCTGCAGAACGTGCCAGGAACTTGCCGGTTCATGCGGTTTGTTCGCTGTCAGGACCGGACTGACTGACTTGTCCGTTTCCTCGTTTTCGCGGGAAACAGGCGGTCAGGACTTAGGTTCAACAGCGCAAGATGGAGCAAGAAAGGGGGGAAGACTGAGAGAGCATTATGCACAGACTTTCATCTGAAATTATGCAGGTCCAGATGGGCTGTACAAGACGACATTGCCAGCTTTATGCAAACGTCTTCGAGGCTCATCTAGAAAGAAAAATCAAGTCAGACATCTGGGAGGGTGCGTGGCGTCGGGATGGAAGCTCCGTTATAGGGCGCAGGCTGGCCGTCCTATCACAAGCTTCCTCTCGCAGCAGTGTCTCACATATGACTGACCCTGAACAAAGAAGCACGGGAAGGCAAGGGAAAAACCATTGTTATTCTAGACCAGCAGCCTTAAATGCTAATCCGCCAAGCGTTCGAGCCAAAGCCAGCCCCCGCCAACCTGGGTATCCATTCAAAGCCAAAAAGCCATTATCGTTATCGTCAAACATCGTCATCTTACTCCAGACTCCCTCCACCCAAGAAACACCAAAAACATACGGCACGACATCATCATGCCTTGACCGCCTCCACGAAGAGCTCCCGCATGCCCTTGAGCAGCACCGCGAGCTCTCTCGTCTCGTTGAGCTGGTCCAGCACCTTCTCCACGCGCTCGCGCTCCAGCTTGGGCCTGCAGTGTCGGATATCGTAGTCCCTGCTCGACGTCGAGAGCTCGAACCACGCCTCCCTGTCCCAGTCCTCGCTGTCGATGTAGCTGTAGATGAACTTGAGCCGGTCGTCCTGGCCTGCGCCCTCTATCCGCAGGCCGAGGTTCTGCTGCCAAAACTCGAGCTCCGGGACGTTGAACCGCGACTGCGCCTCCAGCTGCGCGGCGTGCGCGCGCTGCGCCGCGACCTTCGCGTCGATCTCCTTCTGCGTCTCCTCAATCTGCTTCTTCAGCGCGTCTCGTGTGGCCAGGTGCTTGTCGCGCTCCTCCGACAGCTGGGCGATGGCGGCCTGCATCTCGCGTGTCTCGGCCTTTTCCTTCTGAACGGTTTGTTGGTGTGTGCTCGTCTTGTGCTGGAGGATCTCAATGTCCTTCTTCTTCATGCGCTGGTCCTCTGCGACACAAGTCAGTCAGCGCCCATTTGGGCATCGATACTGCACGAATGCTGCCGCGGCCCAACGTACCTTGGAGTTCGGCAATGTTCATGCGAAACTCGTTCCTCTCCTCCAACACGCGCTTGCGCCCTTGCTCAATAAACCCGTCGAATCGTGAAGAGAACTTGTTCATGCGGTCGCGCAGCTCATCGAAGCCGAAGTTCGCGTTCGGGAGGGTGTCGGCGACCGATGGGGTTGCCATCAGGGACTGGCGGTTGATGCTCGCGGAGAGCGACGATTCGAATGCCGACGACATCGTGGCTGAGATATGATGCTATGCTGTGCAAATCGCAAAATCGTTTCGAAGCGACGTGAGGATAGATTGGCAGCCTTCTGCAATCGCAATCGCATGTGACGGAAGGATGGGGTTAGGTGGGCTTGGGAAACGGGAGGATATTTTTGGTGTTTATGTCACGCGTTGCTATGTCAACAATCTGGCAGGTGCCAGAGGACTGCTGACTAACACTCTTGCTGACTTATCCACCCAGCCCCTGAACAGTTCAATCGCCTCCTTGGATAACATCTTCCGGCAGGATGCTGTTGATACGGCTTGTTGGGGTGATCGGATGGCCTACTATCTGCTCTTTTCTTATTCATCTTCCGGTCCGACTCGCTTTCTGTTTGAAGCAAGAGCGGCTAGTCCGGAAGCATGTGCGGTATTCATGTCCGGAGGTGGCCCCGCTTTCGGCGTCCTAAGCCGGACTTCACGGACTCATTGTAACAAAAACTCTAATGTTCAACAATTGAAAGCGCCAGTTGTTGAAGGTCTGACAATAACTTGAGATGGATAGACTGATCTTTCCAGGCTAACTTTCCCGGTTCTTTGCGCGCACTCGGTCAGAGAAGGCCTTGTATCTCTCCAAGCTTTCCTTGGGCCAGTATTCTTCCATGGGCCCGTACTCCTCAAAGACCACATCCCCCTCCGGAATATCAAACCACCCGTGCCTCTTACTCCCATCTCCAGCAAAGATATGCGCATGCGGCCTCAAGCCTCCCGACGGAAGGTACCTCTCCCCGTCCACAAGCCCATCAATCGTTCCCACCCGCACAATCTTCAGCAGGCTCCTCGTCGTTCCCGAGTAATGGCTCCACACCACCGTAAAGCACTCCGGACACCGCACCATGACCTGACCCTCCGTCCCCGACGTCGCGGTCGGGATGCCTTTCCGCAGGAGCCGCGCCTCGGCCTCCTCGCCGCTTTCACCAGTCGATAGCGTCGTGTGCACGCGGTCCGGCTCGTACAGCGCGTTAAGCGCGAATGAGGTGCCCGTCTCCCGCTGGCAGTACGTGCAGTGGCATGCGTGGACGATGAGCGGGGATGATGAGAGGGTGTAGCGGACGTGGGAGCAGGCGCAACGGCCTGTCAGAGGGCCCTCGATTGGGTTCCTGATCCACGGTCAATTGGGAAACCTGAGCGAATATGAGAAGTACTCACCCCATGGCTGGAATTTCGAAGAGGTTTCAAAGTAACGTGTTTTGCTAATTGACAACTGAGATTGCTTGGGATAAGTAGGTAGCTGTTTTCTTTGCAGGTGAGCATGCCAACCGAGATGCATATTGCGTCATACCTATCCGTGGGGAAACACAACAGCAGCTTCGGCAAGGATACCTTTAAACTGACGTTTCCTCTCCTTACATAAAGCCAGTCTGCTCGACCTCTTCTTCGACTTGCAGGCAATACTGTAAGCACCAGGTTCATGATCAAAGAAGACACGGAGCAAGACAACACCCCAGATCATGCAGGCATGAATAAGCCCATAATAATCAACCTGAACAAGGATGAGAAATCTTTAGCTCAAGTACTCACAGTGGTTCTTTCAAACAGCGGAGAATATCCTCTCTCATTGAGTTCGCTCAAGCTTCACATATCTAATTTACTAAGTTTAACATGGATCTTCTATCATTATCATAGCCACTTTGGCAATCATCTGTGTAGGTTTCTCATATGTTCATACTGTACCTAACAAATGAAAAAACGCCAGAGATTTCCATCTTTCTAGACTGCCAGACCATATGATGGCGGTACGTTAACCCACAAGATGATTGAGAAGAACTCGTTCCCCCTTCAGGGGTATACCTCAGACACCTTGTCGTCTGCAGACTTACTTAGCTGTGAAATACTACCGTACCAGACTGTGTGACTGTGAATGAATCTCAAGTCGATACCTCGCGGCCTGAATCACTACAAAGCCCGTAGCTCCGTATAAGAAGGAAATCTCTCTTCCATCGCCGGGGCGACTTTGTTTACGTGCCTTCAATGATAACTGAGGTAGATAAAGAAGTCACCCTTTTGAAAATCCATTCATTATCATCGAAGTTCCAACAGCATCTCCCAAGGGTTGTCTCTCGGAGTAGCCTCAAACCAAGCACCAACCATCACCACAGCTCCCACATCAAGCAATTCCACACCAATCTCAGGTATCATCATCTCCCTCCCCCTTCACAAAGGCCTCCTTCACTAACAAGACTAAAGTCCAGCTCAACATGGCCGACCCCCACATCATCCTTGAAACCCACCTCTACTCCCTGCCTCCCAACGGCGCTCCCCCTTGGATCAGAAGCTTCCACCTCCGCCTCTGCCCGACCGCCGCCACCAAGGCCGACATCCTCACCCTCGTCCGCAACTCCGTCGTCCGCATAGGCCGCGCCGACCCAGTCGTGGAAGCGCAGGTGACGCTCTTCTTCACGCGCAACGGCCACGTCGCGTCCCTCCCCGGAGCCAGCAACCTCGGCACCAACACCGTCGCCGTCCCGATCTACCAGCCTCCTCAGCTGATCAACTACTCCGTCCCCTGTTTCCCGCAGCAGCAGCAGATGGGCGCTCCCGGCTGGCCTCTGGCTCTCACCTACGCTAACGGCGTCAACTGGTTGCACTCTTACGGCCCCGGAGGCATGATGGGCATGGGGGGTGGACAGCAGCAGCAGCAGGTGATTGTCGGCGGTCAGATTGGCTTTATCAACGTCAATGTTCCATCTGTCAATGTATCTGGGGGCCGTCCGGTTGTATCTGACGTTGTCCGTGAGGCTCGGCTCGATGGAATCGCGGAGGCAGCGTTGGGTGGAATGTTGGAGTGGGTTGGAGGACCGAACGGTCTGAAGCTGATTGTCATTGTGGATGTAGACGGACGGGATGTTCTTCCTGCGGTTATCACCCTGCCGGAGACGCCTGCCGTGGCCACGCCTCCTGCTGCTCCCGCTACTTCGCCTCCTGTTGCGGAAGATGCCCCCGCCGAGCCTGCGGCCGAGTAAACACTTTGATGTTTGCGGTTTGGAAGAAAGACATTGGGCTGTCGAAGTTAACTAGCTAGGTTATTAGCTAGGTTAGAGGATTGAAGCACGCTGGTTTCGAAGAGATTATTGAAGATAAACTATAGTTCCAAGACGCTCGGTAATCCCTGTGACAGCCTCTGTGAGGCAATCATCCGCCCATATGTACTCGGCTTGCACAGAGTATAAATACTAAACTCGGCCACTCATCTGGTTGCTTCAAATGTTCGAGTCGTTCTTCTACTAGCACTAGCTGTACAAAAGCTGAGTAGAGCTAGATGGCAATCCGCCGAGAACACATACCACACCTCCACGGGCTCCATTCGTTGTATGCCTACGTCTCAAGAATCCTGAGAGTATTTTCATCAGGGACGAGGAATATCGGGCAGAAAATACTGGGAGAGGGCTATGAAAAGACATCTCGGCCGGGCTCTCCAGCTGTTCCAGAAGATCTAAAACCCTCACTCGAGACTCGTAGGAGATCCTTTTCTTTGAAAAGTCCTCATCAATGGGCAATTTTTGTGCCACGAAAGACTCACCTTTCTGTTTCTTGAAAGCATTATATAGTTTGAAAGCCAGTCACCGCCTACAGGATTCAAGATCCGTGTGACAACGGAAACGGCCTATCCAAGACCTCTGTGGTACGTCCCTTCCATCATGAAGAAGAATAATGCCCGCGAGGATGAAACTTTTGACTCAACGGAGAACACTGACCATACAGCCCAACAATCAAGCTTTTCGTTTTCCCCCATGGAGCTTTGGAGAGGCCGGATGCACTTAAGGATTACAACACCGCCAACACACGCTCGGTCGTGATAAGGGATTTGCTCGAGCAAAACCCTTGAATTGCATGTAGAATACACTGTCGACTGTAGGGTCAAATAGCAGTGAATGAGGACAATATGGTTTTAGGACTACGACGTGTGGCACGTCAAGGCCATATCCGGTCGCACTCCAACAGCAGCTCATTGGTCTCTTGGAAAATCCTTAAAGATTTGTCAGTGGTTTTTTTTTTCATACCCGAGTTCTCTCACTTATTGCTCCTAAACTGCATCAAGAACATAAAACCCGAGGCATGGTGTCTTCTTGTATACTGAACCGCAATAGAGAGTGTCGGTCACGCTGTGTACACGTCTGATTCGTCGAGATCTGTCCGTCTTACACGTATGCCCACGATCTCAGCAAATCGAGGACAAGAAAATGCGCAATTACCCCGTCCATCGTCGTCGTCGGTCATCACTTTTGCATTCATAAGGCGAACATTGTCCCCATGATGGAGCCAGCTACCCAATGTTACATGCGATGACAGAAGGTCCTTGCAGCTGACTCCAGCTTAGACTCTAGTCATTCGTAAAGAGGGTCCAGTTATGCCCCATTGCTGTTGTTGTCGAGGAATTGGTGGACTTTCATGCGCTTTTATACTGCCCATCACCAAACACAACACGACACTAATCAACTCTATGAGTTCCCTCCCTTTCTATGACGGATGAAGTCCACAAGTATAAGTTTTGCAGTCAAACAGAGTACATGCCACACAAAAATAAACTCGTCGTGAGGCGTTTGGAGTCGTAGACATGCAAGAACGGGTCATAAGGACGCTGATACTCCCAAAAGATCTCACCAACCGCCCAAAGTGTTCGGTCGTGCTCACGTGATTGCTCCAGCAAAATAAACCTGAATAACAGATGGTACGCACTGAGGATCGTAGAGACAGACAGCAATGAAAGAGAATGCTATCATATCTAGTATCTCGACGTATGGGATGCGGGATGTTGGGATCACCCGAATTGCTCGGCTTTACCAGCGCGGACATTCGGAAGTTATTGGTCTGTGGGTTAATTCCATTCGCGGAGGACCTGTCAGCTGCTTTTATCATGCCTTTCTGTTGTGTTGAACCTACCTCTAATGAAGTACGAAAATAATATTAAAAAAACAGGGGCCTTCACTTTTACCAAGCCACAACAAAATAGCGCTATCAGGATGCGTGATGGCATTTAATACAACCGCATAACCTATATCATGTGTATTACGGCGCTGTTACCTGATCTAAAGCAAACAAAGATGCAATACCCAAGCCCGTCGTCGTTCATCATTCCTTGATTATTCGATAATGATAACCAAAGCACTCCGGCGACCTTCATTCCCAACATGCAACTGGCTACTCCTGAAGTGTGCTGAAGAACGACCTTGCGCTTGTCTGAGCTTTTGAAGAAAAGTAAACGAAGCGACACTTTACGTAAATTCTGGCATTCTCAAGAAGTTGAGAGCCTCGGACGCCTTTTATACTACTGCCATATCATGACCACTTGCCTCGTGCTGCCCGCCGTCACCACACACATCTAGAGCGCCCAACCGTGCGGACTGCCCGAGACAGTCTTGCAATATAAAAGCTTTCTCACTGTGAAAATTTTCGTTTCGTTTCGTTTCTCCACGATTGTGATTGCTCTGATCTTGTTGTCCAAAAGAGCGTGGCAGCCTAACTCCATGGACATCAGCACTGACTATGCGGCAACCACCCAACAGTCAGGATAGTCTACGTTTCCTTTACATGCTCAATTCGTCTTCATTTCTATCATCATGAATCTATTTCTTCTGGTTCAAAGTCCACCAACAGGAAACAGACATATCTATCAGCTGGACGCATTTGAGTACACTAATCCTCAAAAGCTGCGCTGGCATTCTAGCAACGAAAATTACCTATTGACTATGGGCCTAGTCACACTGAATTGACATTGTTTGCAATTTTGTCTCAAAACCTAATTGAATTTCTTTCCAGAAATTTATAGCTGCAAATCCTCAGTCACCACGCGTCAGTCATCGTCCGCTGACACCCCATGAGAAGTACATAAGTTGGCATTGCCGTCGTCCAACACCGCATCCACAAGGAAACTGAAATGGGACTCCATTTACGTCTCCGATTTGAATCGAAACCTGATCGTCTTTTTGCTAGAGTCAGCCACATCTCCCATTCGAAGAACACCACCATGCGCAAAATCTTGTTCCCTCGTCCGTCACCCCCAGTCGCATCTTCGTATTCCAGCGGCGACGAGCCTATTCTATGATCACCTTCCAAGTAAGACGCATTGTACGAAACCTACTTAAACATGTGAAACTCATAGTGAACCTTGTGCGGGGAACCGATCGCTCGCAACCGCGCTCGCAAGGATTGTGTT